TATTTTTTGTTGTTGTTGATGGTGTGTGTGTGTGGGGGGTTGTTTGTTTGTTTGTTGTTTGTATAATCCCTTTACCTTTTTCACCCAGCTCCTGAACCCCCTCCCCTCTGACGGCTGTCTGTCTGCTCTCTGTATCTATGAGTCTGTTACCACCAACCGGTGTTCTCAATCACTGTCTGTCATTTTCACCTCAACCATCTTGGTGCTTATTTGTCTGGAGCAGTAGTTCTGAAACTGGGTCCCTGGCCCTGCAGCAGCATCTGAGAACTTGCTAGAAATGCAGATTCTCAGTCCCCCGCCCCCAAACCTACTAAATCAGAAACTCTGGGGTTAGCACAGCAGTCTGAGTGGGGGTTTTTGTTTGTTTTCTTATTTGTTCTTTCAGTTTTAGTAATCTGTGTTTTAACATCCCCCTCCCCCAGGATCTGACACTGGTTTGATGTTCCAGAGCCCTATATTCTTGGAAGTCCCAGGGCATGTCCCATGCTCATGCTCAGTTCTGAAGTGCTGTTCACTCCATTATGTTCAACAAAGGAAAAAAACTATAATCATGCTGAAAGAGTGAGTAGGAAGAGATAAATAAACATTTTACAAGTGAAAGCTGAGATAACTTTAAAGTTCAATGGAGAGAACATGACGAACGCTGCACGTTGGTGTGGGATGACTCATTCGATGATAGGAACAATGCTGAAAACACGAATCAAGCAGAGTGTCTGGGATGCAGTGCCTGTGCGACAGACAACAGTCTCAGGATACAGGGAAAATGACCTCAAATTCATAGAAATGTGAACACAGGGCCACAGGCTCAGCATCAGGAGTGGAAACTCATGGGCTTCTGGAGAATGCTGGGCATCTGTGTGTTGTGCTGGGGATTAGAGTGACAGGTTGGCTCCTAGTAGGGAAAGACTCACCTGAATCTGTAAGTGTCAATGATCTAGCCCAGTGGTCAGCAAACTCATTAGTCAACAGAGCCAAATATCAACAGTACAAAGACTGAACTTTCTATTGAGAGCCAAATTCTTTAAACTTAAACTTCTTCTAATGCCACTTCTTCAAAATAGACTCTCCCAGGCCGTGGCTTTTGTGGAAGAGCCACACTCAAAGGGCCAAAGAACCTCATGTATTATAGCTCGAGAGCTGCAGTTTGCCTACCACTGTTCTAGCCTATTTACTAGCAGGCTAGAGAGCACGAACCAGTCTTCCTAGACCAGACCACAGGAGTTAGCTAATCAAAAGTTTTTCCATACAGATGAAACTGCTCTATTTTACAGTAAAAAGAGATACCTGGTAGGAAGTGCATCAGATGGAGAAATTATGTCAGGTTTTAAACTTTGAAGGACCAAGTCCTATTTACAAAGTGAAAATCCAACCATTATCTTTTGGATCTACCCCAATGGATCGATAAACCATCACTTACAACCAACCACATCCACAGGAGCTACTGGACATACATACCCAGGGCCATTAAAATTCAGCATTTAAAATGCAGAAACTCCTCCCTCCTTATCTCCTGAGATCCCGATTCATTCAACTGGGGTGGAGCCCATTTTTAACAAGCTCCCTAAGGGATACTGAGGCAGATGGTCCCTGGATCACAGGGCCGACTGCCATTGTGGAAGAAAAATTGGAATCAAGAGCTGTACTGAGTCGCTTCACCAACACTGCTGGGCAGAACGCAGCCTGAAACCAAAACACCCCCCTCCGGAGCCCCGATTTAGCACTTGTTCCCACAGCACAGATCAGGGAAGTCAGCAGTAAATGAGTAACGTGTTACATAATTTGCTTCTCTGTATGCAGAACCTTAATCCACCAAAGAGAAGTTAAAACCATATAAAAAGCAACAGCCCACCCCCAAAACAAATGCTGGGGAAGCGTAGCCAGCCACCTTCTGCCAGACAAGGATGAGTCCTCCTCGGTGCTGAAAACCCCATCAGCTCGCCCTTGTGCCACTGGGAACTGGACCCTTTGGTCAAGATGGCCGGGAACAGCAGGGGGAGGGGAGTAAAAGAGGAGGAGGAAGAGGACATCTGTTCCACGTGAGCACTGACATGGCATCATCAAGGCTTCCCTCTTGTTGAAAGCATAAGTGCAAACATGTACTTGAGTATACCTCTGACCCGTAGCTGGAAAGTTCTGGAGCCACAACACACCTTCTGCCTTGGATCTTGTCCAAGAACCCCAAACCACCCTCTCTCTCTTTAGAAAGGATTTCCAGTCTTTTCCTCTCCCCAGTTACCCCAAGACCTGAACAATGAGCTAGTTCTCACCAGGGTGTTGAAGGCTGACAGTGGTTGGGACATTTATCACCCAAGGGACCACAGAAGATGTCAAGGGGGAATGGCAAAGGCACACATGTATAGAACATATGTATGACTCCTAATGAGCCAGGCTCAGGAGTTCCCAACTAGTTCTAGACTGAGCTAGAGACATCCACTTTGAACTATTGGAGCGTACATTGTAAGTTTCAGAGGAATTAGTCCTTAACTATCTTTTTATTTTGCTAATCCAAGCAGCTAAATATTGTGACTAGCCTTTAGGAAGTTTTCAAAAAAAAAATAAGTATTGAATTGACTTACATTGACATCTGATATAAAACTTAATTGCCACCCTCATATTGCCACAGTGAATTAGAGTTCCCAGGGTACTTGTGGAAAAACCATCTTCTCCATGGACACTGTGGCTCTGTTGGTTGGGTGTCATACTGTGCACAATGAAGTTTCTAGTTTGATTCCCAGTCAGGGTATATGCTTGGGATGTGGGCTCGACCACCAGTGGGGAGTGTGCAGGAGGGAGATGATCTATGTTTCTCTCTCTTCCCACCTCCCTCTATCTCTCTCTTAAAAACACACACACAATAAAAATATATTTAAATAAACAAATACAAATAAAAACCCATCTTCTGGGCTCTACCCCAGACATAGTAAATCAGACTCTCTGGGACCTGCTTTCTTAACAAGGTGCCAGCCAATCTTACACATGTGCAATCTGAGAACCACTGCCTTCACCTTATGGGGACTCTCCAGGACCCCAATGCTGTGGGATGTAATTAAACAACAGGGCCCTTTGGGAACACTCAGAGCAGAACACAATAAAGGCAGGCAGCGTCCTCCCCTCTGCCAAGGATGGGCCCCATTGGAGTACAGAACACAGGGAAAAAATGGGACCAACCAGACACCCGAGGTGAGAAAGGTCTGGAGAAGCATTCTGGAGCTCAGGTTGGACATGAACAAAACCACCTCTGATCCTTGCCTATTTCTCCCAATGTGGGGTAGCATGCCCATCATCAGATCATGAAGCAGGGGGCACCAACTAGGTCAAAGGATGGAGAGCAAATGGCTAGCACCCTGCTCCACTTGGGAAAGTTGCAGGGAACAAGAGGTACACCTTTGCCTAGACTTCTCCACTGCCTTCTCTCCTTCATGCTGCAGTTTGGCAGCTTAAGTGAACAAACTGTCCTCCCTCATGCCCATCATCAGATCTCCCACCTCTCTGCAGGCACATTTTGAGCCAGGACAGGGCACTTCTACCAGTGGGGAATGAGGAATCATGCCCAGGTTCCTTCTGTCTGCATCTCAGGAGCCTCAGAAGCTCCCCTCGCCAGCCAACCTCCCTAAGACAGGGAATGCCTTTACTGTCAGCAGTTGTCTATCATAGGAGCACCAAACACAGATGTTTGTGCCAGGCCTCATTTACACGAGCCCACTCCTCCTGGAAAGATGAGTTTTTTAAGCAAATACCGTTTACATATGGTAGCAGGCAGAGTCATGTCAGCATCAGGAATCCCCAGATGGAAACAGGAATCAACCTGGGGCAGAGACTGCTCAATAAATCCTGACTGGGTGAAACTCCTCTCTGGAGAAGGAGCTATCTGCAAGCGATTGCTCCGATTCCCGGGCAAGAGTCCCTAAAGACATCACACTCTCCCCAGCGGGACAAGCTGAGCACTCGGACCTCTGAAAGCACCATCACCCATCCCTCCGGGAGCTCTTCCAGCCTGTCCCACCAGTGTCCATGCATCCCTGACCCCACTCACACCCTGGTTCCACCCAGGCCATGGAGGACCCTACTCTGTTGGACACAGGCACTCCACACTCGTGCAGGATTTCCTCACATCCCAAGGCTCAGGGTTCTGGCAGCTGAGGAAAAGAATGCCACCACATACACACACAGATATCCAAGAGCTGGGGGAGTGCGTGTAGGACGTACACACAGCTAGCCTGGAAGACTCGGCCGTAAGGACTCAGTCTGGGAGCAATTTGACTATTAGAGCAATGTCTGGCTTGGGAGTGTGAATTACCTGGGCTACTGCCTCCTCAGACTTTAAGTTTGCCTATGGGAACTCAGTAAAGGGGAGGAATTCTATCATCTTTGATGTTACTTCCAGGATGGAGTAAGAAGTTAGGGGCACAGGATGGGACAGGGCAGCATGTACGATGTAACTTAGAAATGGGGAAAGGTCATTCGTGTTAGTTATAGATGAGGGGCAAGAGGCTCCAGCTTCCACATGAGTTAGTAGAATCCAAGTCCAAACTGGGTCTGAGGGGGACCAGACCCCAACCCAGACCTCACCTCTGTGGATTACGCTGCCAGGCACCCCAGGAGATTGAAAGCAAGGGCTCTGAGAGGTGTGTGCCACCCCAAAAAGGCACTGGCCCTCAGGGGACATGAGCCTCAGATCCTGGTAGGTCAGGACTTTGAGATACCCTCACAGGATAATGTCTAGGATGGTTACCATGGCCTCGGGTATCTTCCAGTGCAGTCAGGAATCTTGGACCCATTCCAGCCCTTGGTTGGAATACCACTGGCTGCCCTCCCCTACATGCACAGGTGTCAGTAACCAATGTGAGCACATGGCCAAGTACACATGGCCCTAGGTGAGAGAGACCAAAGGAGAATCACTGCCTAGCTAAAAGTCAGGGGCAGATGGGGGTCCTGTGTGCATGCAAAGCCCCCACCAGCCATGGCTGGAGCCAAACGCAGGAGAAAGACAAGCCACCTACCGAGCCCGTTCTCTGCCAGTGCCGCATGGGTGATGTCACACTCGCCCAGGTCTTGCTCTCCGATGTCATTCAAATCCAAGCCAGGCTGGTGGGACCCGTTTCCAAAGTGCCTCTCATCCTTCTCGGATCCAGTGTCCCCGTTTTCCATTCCATTCTGAGCCTTTTTTAGGGGTATTATTTGCAAGCCACTGGGGGTAGTCCTGTAAGACACCGTCTTGGCGGCCCTGTCGCCTGCCGCAGGGGGCTTGGCGGGATACCCTTTCTTCGGCTTGGACAGGGTAGGGTTGATTCGCTTCCGTTTATGAGAAGTCCCCTTGCTCTTCCCAGACTCGGAAGGTCTGCTGGAGAGTTTCTCCACCGAAGGGCCTCGGCTGTCGCGCAGGAGCTTGGAGGCGCTGGCCTGCTTCCCTGACTTGATCCTCTTGTCCTTGGACACGTGCAGCCCGTTGAACTCATCGATAAACTCCTCACAGTGCAGCAGGTGGTGCTCTGGCTCCCACGTGTCCTCCGTGCTCCCGTAGCCTTTCCATCGGATGAGGTACTCCCATTTCCCTTTCTTGTTCTTTCTCTTGTCTACAATCCTTTCGACCTGGGATAACAAAATGAGAGCCAGGAAAGAGAGAAAGGGGGGAAAAAATCAGTCCCAGATAAACAAGAACAGCACAAAGCCCTCAGGACAGAGGCTATGTCCTGGCCAGGGGCAGGGGGCACGGCCCGTGACACTTCCAGGAGCGGTCAAGGTGGCTGGTTTATTTTAGGACATCACTGAATAGAACCCAAGGTACATGGTCATGTCCCATGATTTGCTGATGCTATGCCTGGCTCGTGGCATCTGTCTGTCCATCCATCCGAGGCTTATTCTTGTTTGAAATCACATTGCAAATTTTCATGACAGATCTTTATTCTTTTCATTGCACCAAAGTAGAATCAGACATTTAAAGGCCAATTTGCTGTTGGTTTTTCATCCCTCTGCTGCTGCTACTACTACTACTACTACTACTAATACTACTAATAATAATGATAAATAATATGTAGTATTTATTAAGCATTTATATGGTAGGCACTACTATGCTGATGTATCCTTACTTATAATACTAATTATTAGTAACATTCATTGGGCACATATTAGACAGACATTACACTAAATGCTGAACATGGATGTCAATGTCCCCATTTCCTTTTGTCCTGATAACAAACCAACACAGTAGGTATTCTTTCTAACCCTATTTTACAGCGAGGAAACTTGGGCTCAGAGAGATGAAATCACTCACCAAATTCCAATCTGGTAAAGGCAGGGCTGGGATTGGAACCACCCTCCCCAGAGACATATTTTCTTAATCATTATGCCATACCAACTCTCATTAACAAAAATCTCCCCTATTCATAAAAACGAATTGATTTGCCAAAGTCCAATTCCTCCCATTCAGAGCCCCATGCTGCAACACAGGGGGTGAAACTGAGGCAAGGTGATAGGTAATATTTGCAAAGACCCATTTATGTGCCTGGTATAACCCCGTGAGTATATTCATGCTATTATTACTCCCATTTGATAGAAGAAGGGATTGAGAATGGGGCAACTCCCCTACAATGCAGGGCTAAGAGGGATGAGATCTGAATCTAAATCCATTTGGCTGTAAAACCATGTGCTACTGTCTTCATACCTCAAATGTAAGGTAATCTCCTCTGTCTTCAAGTAATCCCATGGAAAAACACACTTAGGAAAATGCCAGTCCTAAAGCTAATAACCATTGTATCTAGATGAAGGGTATGTGAGGGTCATTTATTTATTAACTTTTCAACTTTGCTATAGATTTGAATTTTTTAATTAAAAAAAATGACAGAAGCCGAAACCGGTTTGGCTCAGAGGTAGAGCGTCGGTCTGCGGACTGAAAGGTCCCGGGTTCGATTCCAGTGAGGGGCATGTACGTTGGTTGCGGGCACATCCCCAGTAGGGGGTGTGCAAGAGGCAGCTGGTCAATGTTTCTCTCTCATCGACGTTTCTAGCTCTCTGTCTCCCTTCCTCTCTGTAAAAATCAATAAATATTTTTTTTAAATGACAGAAAAGTTTAATTCTCTACCCCCAACAAGCAAAATTTTAAGGAAAGATTAAAAAATTACATTCATTTATTATATTTCAATGTCAACATAATATACTTTTCTAGACTAGAAATTTGGCATTAAGTAATAACCTAGAAACTTATAAAAAGAAAAAATAATATGAGAGGGGAAAGTGGGTATATAGTTGAAAATTTTGAAGGTGGGGAAAGGGTATGTGAAGGTTCATTACATGATTGTTAACATGTTTGAATTTTTGTTTCATTTTTTCCATAGTAAAAAGTAAGAAATTTTTGAACACTGAGATTTTTGTACCACAACAGAAGCCATGAAAAATAATTAAATGACTTCCATTTGCACTAAATAAATAAGCAAATGGGTAAGACATACTACACCTTCATAATACTGCTTCTTTGCAGACAATTTTAATTGTCTCCTTAATTGATTAATCTCCAAATAGGCTTACTCTATTAAAATTTATTTCCTTATAAAATGCCCTGTGAACATCTGTTTTAAATGTAGTAAATAATTTTTAGCAGTATAACACAAACTCTAACAGCTTTAAAAAGTAAAATCATACCAACTAATATAACTTCCAATCGTTGGGTCAGGGAAAGGGACTAGCTAAGCATTCATTTATGATAATGTTCAGGAAGTCAAGGTGTTTGTGAAAGAGCCTGCAGTTTGCACATCTGGAGGATGTTGAGGAGGAAAAACCTCCACAGGTTGACAGAGGGAGGAAAGTGAACAAGCAAACAGCAGCATTCCCGAGAACACCAATCTATGAGAGTCAGGAGCAAGCCCAGATATGTCTTGGGAGCTAAGGAATTTGTGTTGACAAGGGGGTCTCCAGCTTCAGAAAGCATATGCTTAGCCCCCAAGATGGAGAAACTTCTTGCCCAGATGAAGCAGAAAGCCTTACTAGACAAAGAGCCAACATAATGAATAGGCTTGTAAGGTGGATGGGTAGGTGGACAGGTGAATGAATGGGTAAATGGAAAAATGGATAGTTAGTGGAAGAATAAACAGGTGGGAGGATAGTAGAATCAGGGATGAATAAAAGGATAGGTAAATGGACTGATGAGGGATGGGTGACGGGTAAAAGGGTGAGTAGAGAAGAGAATTCTGGAATAAATGGTGGCTAGATAGCACTCATTCATCCAAATGAGTGTGAGATAGTATTTAAGAGCACGAGCCATGGAGCAAGACTATCTGGCTTCAATCTCCTGTGAAGCCTTCTATCATGTGTTCTTTTTTTTTTTTAATCAATCTTTATTGTACATATTATTACAAAGGTTCCTCATTTCTTCCCCCCTCCACCAGGTTCCCACCCCACCCTCTGCCCTTTCCCCACCCCCCATTGTCCTCATCCATAGGTGCACAGTTTATGTTCAGTCTCTTCCCGCATCCACCACTCCCCTTCCCCCCCCCCCCCCCCCCCGAGAATTGTCAGTCTACTCCCCTCCCGTATCTCTGATTCTATTATAATCAACAGTTAATATTGTTCATCAGGATTTTTAATTTCCTTGATTTTTTTAATTAATAAACTTTTATATTTTTAAGAATAAATTTTAAAATCTAATAATTTTAAACCTTGTTTTTTCTGCCCTGGGAACTGAGAAGCAAACTTGTTTACATGTAAACTTGCCTTTAGGCTATCAATAGGTGTAGCTATTCAAATGTAAATTAACACATTGTTTAAAGATAACTACTGGCTGGAATTGGATTACCTGTTCTGGGTGGGAAGGGCTTGTCCTTCCCTTTCTCCATTGAAATTAAGGTGTTAGCTTTAAAACCTCTTTTTGGCAAGAGACCTTAAACTTTCAGAACTTTAAATTTTTCAGGGAGTAAATCAATTACTTAGTATTTTCTCAAATCAGTAATACCTCCACATGCCCAAGGATACACTTCACACAAAAGACACTTCCAAATAGATCAACCAACCTCATCTAGACCCCACACAAGGCACTCACAGATCAACACCCCAGCGCTATAATAACTCAATGCATCCAGATCTAAGCCTTCATCACTTGATTCAGCAGACCCTCAAGTTCCCCCAAAAGCTTCCAGCCATGTCTGAGAAGCAGCCCTGGGGCATGGGCAGGCGAGGAGCGAGCTGTTATGGCCCGGCTGCTTGGGGCCTGGCCTCTGTTGCTCTTCCGCTCCATAATCAGCTGCTCTGGGTCTGGCCGCTGCCACTCTGGGCCTGGCTGCTGCTGCTCCGGGCCTGGCTGCTCCCGACCCAGCTGCTCTGGGCCCAGCTGCTCCTGGCCCAGCTGCTCCGGGCCCGGCCACTCCGGGCCTGGCCGTTCCCAGCCTGGCTGCTTCAGGCCTGGCTGCTGCTGCTGCTTCGAGCCTGGCTGCTCCTGACCCAGCTGCTCTAGGCCCGGCTATCATGTGTTCTTGAGCAAGTTACTAAACCTCTTTCGACCTTGGATGACTCATCTAGCAAGGGGGAAATAACAGTACGTCATAGGGTAGCTGTGGAGAGTATACAAATAAGTAGTTTTGCATTCCAAAGTAAAGGTCACTTAATCTTGCAAATTCTCCTGTGAATACAAACCTTGATGGTAATCTAGAGACAGATCATTTCCCTATCCTGCAGAATATGACCTTCTTAGAATACACAATGTCTCCCTGGGAAGAAGACAAAGTCTACCCGCTTAGATGGCTCTCAGAGTAGGACTGCTGGAGAAGCCTGGGGGGGTCAGCAAGGGTGCAGTGTCAACATCCCTAACTGGAACCACAACAAAGGTGGGGGGAGGGTCAGCTTGGTTTTCCCCCTCCACATTACCGGAGGATTGAGTCACAGAGTCACAAGTGGCTTTATAGGTGACGGAAAGGCCACTGCTGTCACCTCTGGTCCCATCCACAAATCCACTGCATGGTGCGACCACCACTTCTATTCAAATTAACCCAATGCCAACAATGAACACTATGAACAGGGTTGTCCCTAAGAGTCTGATGTGTGGGGAGGAAAAACTGTGGGCTCCACCACTTTCTACCCACATGACCCTGGGCAAATTTCCCAACCTCTCTAGCCCTCAGTGTCCCCATCTATAAAATAGTAATAGCAATAATAATAATAACAACAACAACAACAACAATAATAGCAATGGCAGCAGCTACCTGAAAGGTTATTGGAAGAAAGAAAGGAATACAATGGGGAGAGTAAAATGCCTGAACACTACAGAGCACAAGGAGGTGAATGGAATTGCTTTAATACATATGAAACTTCAGAGGACAAAAGTGCTGTTATAGACATTATTTCCTCCACACTTTAAACATTTTTTGTTTTTGTTTTTTTTCAGGTTTAGAAAAACAATTGTTTTTTTCTGAAAGAGCAAAATGCCCACAAGGAGTTCATACCCCATCATACTTCGAATGTGCCATCTCCTGGGACTTATCTCCTCCCTCACATACCGTGTAGGTTTTCTGACCCTCTTCTCGTTTTCTCAGGAGCACCCCAAATAGAATCAGAATCCTGATTTGTTCTGTTGCTAACAAAGGCCCATGTTATTCATGACTTGATCT